TATATATATATATATGATGTTTCAGCTGTTCCTGATTTTTTTTTTCAATGAAAGTACATATGATTTTCAACCACAAGGAAACCACAACTCTAAAGCAGTTTAGACTCACACGTCAATACCCGTCACACATATAAAGTCTCCAATACGTCTTCAGCCTGCAGGCTCTGCATGATTACCCCAATTGGTACGTTAGACCTGAATTAAAATAACAGTTTTAAACTGCCTGTGACTTCTCCATGTACATCAAACTCTGCGCTGTTCTGTTACAGATCTCAAATGTTCAAGAGTTTCGACTGTTGAGTTTTGCAGATTTACGTTTATTTGTCATTGTTTAAGATGAAACGTGCAGTATTTTTCCGATGTATATAATGCTTGTTTGGTGTTTGTTTTTGTTTTTTTTTAGGTTTGTGTAAAATTATTTTTACTATATACAAGTGTGTGTTTATGTACGTAAATGCACTTAATAAAATAGCTATCGTTCAAGCTTTGTGTGGTCTTACTGAGGTACAGGTTTTTTATAATTATGGGTGGTGAGAGCTCTGTAGGTAGAGAGGTTGCCCCATGACAGGAAGGGCAGGGGTTTGAATCCACCCTGAGGTGCCCTTGAGCAAGGTGCCATCTCTACACACTGCTCCCCGGGTGCTAGTTTGGCAGCTGCCCACTGCTTCATTGAGTGAATGGATCAAATGCAGAGGGCTACAAAAATTTCCCACGTGTGGGGCTATAAGGGGTTTAAAATAAATTTTTTATCTTTTGATTAAACCTTCAATTCCAAAGTCCAGAACAGCACAATGTAATGCACTTTTAAAGTTTTTATTCTATTTACATATTTGCAACCACAAACGAGTTCTGCTGTTTGTTTTGGTGCATCTCTTATAAAGTTAAATCAAACAAATGAAAATCACCCAGAGGATCCGGTTTCTAAACGTACCGTCACGTCATGTTAACCACGTCTAAATCAAGCAGTTACAGTAGCTTTGTCAGACTGAAGTTCAGGCAGATCCATTACTGTTGGAGCTTTTGAAGATATATTAAAAGCAGTCAAAGTTCATCATAAATCACAGTCAAGCGAACAAAGCATTTAAACGCTGTGTTGTGACATTTATCATCTTTTATCTGTACAGAGAACACGATGGCCCGTAGTGCACCTAAGGGCTCCTCTCAGTCGCTGAGCGAGTCAGGAACAGTCTTAAGTGTATTTTTAGTGACTGATACCGGACATGGATGATTTCTTAAGCCAACAGCACAGGTTAACATTGAGTAATGTACACTGGGTTTTTACGCCTTGTGTAAACACTCTTAAGCATGCTTCATATAGTACTTATTAATCTATAGAAGGCAAGGAAGTATGGAAGAAGGAAGTATTGTTGAATTTCTTTGTAACTTTTGCAGTATTTGCATAAATCAGAGACAAGATTAAAAAAAAAATCAATGGTTATAGAAACTTCCTGTTTCTGTTTGGTTCATCATTCATGTTTTTCCTGCTGTTTGTCAGTTAAGCACAAAACACACACCACAAGTTCTTTTCATTCCTGTGAATGTTTTCTTTCATTTCCTTGGAAATGACTCATACTTACACATTATTTTTTGACATTTTAGAAATGATTATTGATTATATATTCATTTACTTTTCATCCAAGAATAACAAAGCAATCTGATTAAACAACATGTAAGATAATTAGGATCAATTAAAACATCTGTCAGGTATAATAGTCTTTCTAGGAGTACTACAAACTTTATTAGAGATCAATACTGCTAAAAGTAGTTTGGATGTGTTAACATGCTAATCAGTATTACTACCACTATTAATGAGCTCTGTAACTGAAACAAAAAGCTTCCTGAATGTCTAAAATAATAGAAGAAAACAGTGGGCATAGATTTCCCTAAAAAATCCATTTCTATTTTGTATTTTTGTTTTTTAGTCTTATTTGTTATTAGCCTTTAATCGCCATCATTGCTTATTTTTAACTGAACAACTCAAGCTGCATGGTTGAGGTAACCAGTCTTGGATTAAGTCTGTCAGAATTAATTAACTGAAAACAACTGCTGGTGCACACAATGGTTACTTGTTCAGAATGAACTCAGTGCTGATCATTCAGAATTTGTCATACCAGTTTCTAGGCCTATGTGGAATGGGCTGTGACTCAGCTTCTCCACCTGGTTAAATTATGACTAAAACAACAAAAGCTTTTGGAACAGGTACTGCGTTAATTGCAGTGTATGAGTATGAAACATTTTCCTGTTGAATATCTTTGTGAAAGCAGAGGCCCCGGCGGGTAGGCAGGCAGGGATGCAGGTCTCCACAGGCTGGGGAGCTCCTCGGTCCTAATTGTTGTGTGGAGAGGTAAGAAAGACTTCCAGAAAAGAAAATGCCTGAGGTGAGACACTTTGGGCCTAATTGGAAAACCTGTTATTTTCTCACAGGTCCAAGTTCAGCTGTAGGTCACCGGAGTGGTGTCAACCTTAACCAGCCCCTTTCCCCCCCACCCACTAAGACATCCATCGCACACCTTCACCTGTCAGCTTAGGGTATGCTCAGGTAATTAGCACGAGCTGATGTGAGACGTGGAGTGGGCATAGCGTTTGTGTTTTGACAGAGGAAGTTATCTCTGAACGCTGAGTGCTAGCAACAACAGCGAGACTTACCTAAGTCAATAAAGGCGGATGCTTTATATGACATGCACAATGCTCCCCATTGTCTTCCATAACAGTTGAAGAGAACCAGTCATCCTCTGCAGCGATGAAGGACACCTCCCTCTCTAAGGTGCACACGAGAGACAGCTGTAGCTGCTGCTATGATTCATATTGCGTAAGAAGCTATTGCATTTGTGTCACAAATTACTTCTCATAGAAAACAAAAGGAAACAAATGCTTCAGTACGTAATTGTTTTTACAGTGCAATTCTCAAAGTTATACTTGTATCTGGATTTCAATAACAGTAACAGAAAGAGGAAGAATCACCAGCAACATAAAAACACGTTGGAAACGCCGATGAGTAAAAAAGGGGTTAGCAATTTTCCAAAGACATGCTTTGCTTAGAAATGAGTAAATTAATTGTATTTATGAAACTGAAGACAACATTCAGTACATCCTTTTTAATTGATACATCTATGAACCTAAAGGCTGATCAAACATAAAAAACACTTCTCGGTTGATTGTTCTAACCTTAAAGTTGTCAGTGATTTTTCTTTTGGCCACAACAATTGAAGAAATATGGGCGGTAGGAGCACGACTATGTGCCAGGACTTAGTTGACTGACAGCTGCCCCGCCTTACTGCAGATGCTACTTTGTGTTGGGGCAAAGTTTGACTTAAATTTTTTATTTTTTTTGCCACACACCTCTCAGAAATACAATACTCAGCAAGGACAAGGACTGAGTGAGCATTGTGCTCTTTGCTTGTTTGCTTTTTCCATTTCCCTTGTTATTCCTTTGACGTGACTCTGATTATACGTCTAGATGCCCTTGAGAGCTTTGTTATGTTAGATCTGTGGAGTTGTGTCAGTCAGTAAAAGACTCAACGTGCGTGCACTTCACGAGAGCCTGTTTCATCGTTTGTGCACACAAATGTGCATTAAGAGAACTGGTGATATGAATCATTTTTAAATCATAAATGATGATTTCAACAACGCTCTAAATCTGTTGTGATAGTGAAGCATCCTCAAAGCATCCGCATTCAAAACTGGGAAACGACCCAAAGAAGCTTTCAAATGTTGCCAGGACCTCGTGAGTCAGAATTCTTCTTTAAATGACTTCCGTCATTTGTACAATCATCCGTAAGAAAGATTCTAGAAGAATAAGTGCCCGAAATCATTTCTCAATGCATCCCCTGTTGATGTACTGTGGGATCTTTCAGCCTAATGTATTTAGTGACTTAATTACAGTGCTGCCCGCCTCCCTGTCTTTTCAATAGCTCATGCTCTGGTCAACATGTCTGGGGTAACGACACACTGCCTCCCACCTCCAGGCTCTCAAGCTCATAAATCAGCCTTTGAGCATGTGCGTATATGTGTTTTGCTGCAAGGATATTGAGGGGCCTGTTATAGAAGTCATAATCACTGGCTCAGTGTTGTATATCCGCCTACTGAGGAAATAGATGGTAATAGAACTGTCAGGTTTGGCCAGGAGCTGTTGAGTGCTGCCATATCCAACTGACTGCAAACTAGCCCAAAAGCCCTGGAGAAGATCCTCGTCAATAATGAGCACCGAAAACAGCCTAGAAATGTGTGGATTTGGGGGACTTTGCACTGTGGAATAGTTAAACTCAAGAAAACCTGAGTTAACCTGTAACCACTGGCTTTGTGCTGAAAATTTTTCAAATGCATGTCGACATTTCTTTTTTTTTTCTTTTTTTCTTTTTTCTTTTTTTAGCTTTTTAAACTAAAGACAGTTTATGTGAAGTGTTCACCTACTAATGATTCAGAGCTTTCAAACCAACCTTTTTTCCCAAGAAGTTGTGTTGAAATGTTGTGCACATCTTGGTTTACGTCCAGTAATGCAGGAAGTGTGCTCTCTGTGCAACAAAAATAAAGGTTGTGGTAAGCACAAGCTGGTGAATGGTCCAGCAGCAAAATAACTACGTTTTTCGTATCTAAGCCGAGCTAAAGCCACATCTTAGCCATACAGCTGATGCAAGGTGCACACACCATAGAGAGAAAGATTTATAGAATCCTTTGGATTACATACTGTCACTGTATGTTATTTATTATCTTGCACAATCGTCCAATCCCACTTGATCAGAGCCATTTTATGCATGCACTTCTGCCCTGAAACCTTTGTAAAAAAATTACCCGACTCGGGTACATCAGAATGGAATTGCGCAACATAAACGTTAACGGTCTTCACTCACACAGTGCAAAGTCTGTGTGTCCAATTGTGCCTAATAGAACAGGTAACAGTCAGATGAACTCACAGTGACCGAGTGGATGTTTTTCTCGCCTCCAGCACTAA